TCCTGGTGAATTGCCATTCGGTCTTTCAGTGCTATTTCTGTATGTGTTCCTTATTGTTCATTTAATTCTGTTTTTAAAATGCTCGTTAGATTAGAACATTGTTTTCCTGGTTAATACCTGAGAATCAGTGGTCCTACAAAAATGGTCTTTTCCCATCGCCTGTTACATGCAAGGGACTAGGCCACGTACTGGGATTGAGGTCAAAAGATTTGCAACCTAATAAGGAAGATTGCTGCATTCTGACCAAGTCCTGCCCCTCCAGCCCCCTTTAAAATGGTCCTGTTGGTTACTAACAGCATCTGTGTATTACCACTCTTACTTCAAAATGGAGTTTCCAAACATGGTTATTTTATGTTAGTTATATTTTAGGGTGGGTACTTCTGGCATCTTTTAATCACGTCAGTGAGCTGTCTTCTAATTAATGCCCAACAGGTTATTTCAGAAAGGGCTCAGGCAAATGTTAATTCTCTTCATTGCCTACACCTCTATTCTACCTAAGGCTGATAAACTGGCAAATGGCCTAGACTCTCGGCGCCCTGGTTGGTTTCATGTCATTTTGAATTCACCGTTCTCCAATACTTATTTTAAAAATCTCTGCCTTCTGCTTCTGTTAGATCACTGAGAATACAAAAGGAACAATTAAGCACCTGTTCTATGCTAGGTCAAAACTGGAGTCAATCACAGGTTAAATTATGCTCAGAGGGGCACCAGGGTGGCTCAGTCATTAAGCGTCTGCCTTCTGCTTGAGTCATGATCCCAAGGTCCTGGGTCCGAGCCCCACAGCGGGCTCCCTGCTCAGCGGGGGGCCTGCATTTCCCTCTCCCTCTCCCCCTGCTTGTGTTCCCTCTCTCGCTGTCGCTCTCTGCCAAATAAATAAATAAATATTAAAAAATAAATAAATAAACTGGGGCACCTGGATGGCTCAGTGTGTTAAAACCTCTGCCTTCGGCTCAGGTCATGATCCCAGCATCTTGGGTTCAAGCCCCGCATCAGGCTCTCTGCTCAGCGGGGAGCCTGCTTCCCCCTCTCTCTCTGCCTGCCTCTCTGCCTACTTGTGATCTCTGTCTGTCAAATAAATAAATTAAATCTTTAAAAAAATAAAAAATAAAAAATAAAAATAAATTATGCTCAGATACATCATTTCAGAAGTCAAATAAATAAAGTAGAATACATTAATAAACAAATCTTTTTAAAAAATATTTTTAAAAGATTTGTTTATTAATTTAAGAGAGAGAGAGAGAAAGCATTAGTGGGAGGGGCAGAGGGTGAGGGAGAGAATCGTCAAGTAGACCCCATGCTGAGTGTGGAGCATGACACAGGTCCCATCCCAGGACCCCAACATCATGACCTCAGCCAAAATCAAGAGACGGCAACTTAACCTACTGAGCCACCCAGGCAGCCCATAAAATATTTTTCTATCAGAAATTGCCAGGTGGACAAAGTTGTGTTTTGGTTTTTTTTTTTTAAGACTTTTTTATTTTTATTTATTTGACAGAGAGAAAGCATGAGACAGCACAAGTAGGGGGAGCAGCAGAGGGAAAGGGAGATGCTGGGTCTCTGTCCCAGGACCATGAGATCATGACCTGAGCCAAAGACGGTCACTTAACCAACTGAGCCACCCCAGCACCTCCCAAGTGGACAAAGTTTTGATAGTGGCAAGGAATAAGCCATCTTTTCCTAAAAGATCTAAAAATGAAGGAATGTTATATTTAGGTGATGTGATGCAGTAGTGATCAGAATGTTATTATTATATATTTGTTTTTATTATGTATTACAATTTTACCTCCAATATTTTTAAAAGTGTATGCGTGTGTGTGTGTGTGTGGTTTGTGAAGTCTTGGCTACTCAAGTTTAGAATCAGAGTGTGTTAGAGTCAAAAAGGGAATCTGGGGATCGTTTGATCCAAAGACATCTTTTACAGATGGGAAAATGAAGACCTAGAGAGGTGACTTATGCAAATCCTATGTCACATTACTCCCACTTATATCCTTTCAGCCATGCTGTGTATCTTTCTCTATGCCATACTTACACCCTAGTAATGAGCTCTGTTTCACCTTTTTTTTTTGAGAGAGAGAGAGAGAGAGAGGGAAAGGAAGAGGGAGAATCTTTTTTTTTTAAGATTTTATTTATTTATTTGTCAGTGAGAGACACAGAGAGAGAGGGAACACAAGCTGGGGGAGTGGGAGAGGGAGAAGCAGGCTCCCCGCTTAGCAAGGAGCCTGAGGCAGGACTGGATCCCAGGACCCCGGGATCATGACCTGAGCCGAAGGCAGATGCTTAACTGACTGAGCCACCCAGACACCCCAAGAGTCAGAATGTCCACACCTAGCACAGAGTCCAATGTGGGGCTCGATCTCATGACCCTGAGATCATGACCTGAGCTGAAATCAAGAGCCAATCACTTTATGACTGTGGACTCAGCCACACAGGCACCCCTCTATTTAACTTTATAAAGAAAATGGGAGGAACTGGTTAGTTTATGCATGGTAGGAGGTGTATTTAAACTCAAGAATTTCATTCATCAAAAGTTGCTAAAATCCTGCCACAGTACCATGTGGATTACTTTGTTCTTTTTAGCAATTGCAGATGTTGTTGCTGGATTGACTTCTACGTATAAACACTTTACTAGTAAAGTGTTTGATGTATGGCCTTTTATTAATTCAAAGCAAAGAAAGTGAAGATGTGCCCTAGGGAAATTAAGTACTCTTTATCGAAGGAAATATTCATGATTTTCAGAAGTTTGGGGTAGCTTGGGGATAATGTTTGAGAAGTATAGATACTCTAATTGGTAGATTTAAATGTGCCAATTAGATTTAAGAGTATTTGTTTGAATCTACAAATATACTTCACTAAAATTAAATATAGAATTTTATCAGCCCTCAAAATATTGGGGAAATGGTTTTATATAGGATATTTAATATTTTAATAGTTGACAAAAATTAGCTGAAATGAATTATACTTAGATTACACTTAAAATAAGATCTGTGGGGTGCCTGGGTGACTCAGTCAGTTAGACATCTGCCTTCGGCTCAAGTCATGATCCTGGGGTCCTGGGAGGAGCCCACATTGGTCTCTCTGCTCAGTGGAGATTCTGTTTCCTCTCTCCTCCCTACGTGTGCCCTCTCTTGCTATCTTTGACCTCTCTCTCTCTGTCTCTCAAATAAATAAGCAGGATCTTAAAAAAAAAAAAAAATTCCCGAGTACTTTCCATGATCTGTAAGAGTATATGTGATCAGCTCCCTAGCCTCATCCCTGACTCTCTCCTTTGTTTACTCTGCTCAAGTCCTACTGGATCTTTGCTGTTCTCAACCCGTACCAGACACTCTTCCATATCACAGACTTTGCGTTTGCTCTTTCCTCTACTCGAAATCTCTTCCCCCTAGATATCTGCGATTCGTTCCCTTGCTTCATGTAAGTCTTCATTCAAATATAACCTTGTCAAAGTGGCCATCCTTGACCTCTGCCATTTTGAGCTGCGTAATTGTGTTTTGCGGGAGGGGGTCATATGTGTCGTAGGGTATTGGGAAGCGCAACACACTGGATGCCAGGAGCCTCCTCACACCACCCCTCACCCTGGCCTCCAGTCTTAGCTACCAAAAATGTCTCCAAACATTCCTGAAGGCTCCCTGGGCGGGGGGGGGGGGGGAATTAGCCCCCAGTCTGACCCCTTTCCCTGCTTTATTTTTCAGCACAGTACTTAAGTTATATTTCATTATATTATATTTTTATAGTCTTACCTCACCTTAGATGTTATTTGCTTAGTAGTTGTCATTAGAATAACAGGACTTCTCTATCAATCCCAGCAGCACCCCCATTCCCAGAACAGCACCCAGTCAGGTTTTAAAGTAACGTATCAGATAGATTAATTTTACAATACATTTTCTTGAACAGTGCTCTGGTTTCTCTATTGAGATTGTATCCTTTTATTGTAATAAATTTATGCGTGAAATTCAGTGGAGGAACCTAAGGAAAAGCACTGTTGAAACAGTAGGTATTTGAAATTTCTGGTGAAAGTCCAGTTTTCTTAAAACTATATATGCCCAAGAGATTATAGCCCTCAGGACATTAACCCTCTTTCTCAGTAAATTAACTTCTGGTCATTGATCCATTTTTTTTGTTTGTTTGTTTGTTTGTTTTCATTTTGAATAGTTTCAGACTAAGCATCATCAGCACTTAAGATATACACTCTGTTAGAACGGTCCTAGCACAAAAATAAAAAGGTTATTTATAGAGTCATGGTAAACGTTTGCATTACTCGGGACTGCGTTTATTTTTATGAACTCCGTATTTATTTACATTAGCTCTTGGAAAAAGTTTCATCGAAGAGGGTAGTTTAATTTCAGGTGTGCTTTGTAATATAATCAGCATCCATTCATAAACTCTTCTACCAGACTAATGGAAGAATGAGGGACATAAAACCGTTTTCTACCATGGCGGTATTTTATTGGTACGTAGTCTATTAATTATTTTTTAGAAGTCCTGTCACCTTCATGATTGAAAAATAATTTATTAGGCAACTCTGCTTTGTTAATATTAAGGATGCTATTTTTTTTTTAATTTGATAGAGAGAGATCACAAGTAGGCAGAGAGGCAGGCAGAGAGAGAGAGGAGGAAGCAGGCTCCCTGCTGAGTAGAGAGCCCCATGCAGGGCTCAATCCCAGGACCCGGGGACCATGACCTGAGCCAAAGGCAGAGGCTTTAACACACTGAGCCATCCAGGCACCCCAGGGATGCTATTTTTAAGTGAAGCTACATATACATTGTTTAAAATACAGAAAACATGGTGTAAAACTGTGCTCTTTCTGTTAAAATTTGCGTTTCCCTTTTAAACAACCTTAGGTACCAAACAGTAAGAAGAGCAAACACTATATTCAGGTGAGCTTAGTAGGAACTGAGTCTCAAATGAAAACGAATGCTCATCGTAAGACTACTCCAAGAGGTTCACTTATTTCTTCTAATTTTTTTTTTCCTTTTTTTGCCTGCTCTCCCTCTTTACAAAGATCTCAACAGCAACGGATTCATCTGTGACTATGAACTTCATGAGCTTTTCAAGGAGGCCAATATGCCATTACCAGGATATAAAGTGAGAGAAATTATTCAAAAACTCATGCTGGATGGTGACAGGAATAAAGATGGGAAGATAAGTTTCGATGAATTTGTTTATGTAAGTATGTGAAAGTCCACCATTAGTATAAGGAGTCATGACTGTTCCTTTGTCTAGCGGGATCTTAAAAGTAGTCAATCCTGTGAAGTTGCTAAATGTTTCATATCAGTACTGTTAGGATTAATAAAGTTTCCGTCATCCCACCAAGTGTCCTGGGTTCTCTTAGCCATTAGAGTATCTTAGCAAACAAATTGGGAAAAAGAACACTGACAGCTACATCAAGCTACTCTACTTGCTGTGAAAGGCGAACCATTTCCTCTAGGGCTTCCTGAAAGGGGATTTTTCAAGGTGCTAAGTGTCGTCCTTGAAGTGCTCTTTCCGTCTCCCTTGGTGTCTGCCTTGGGGAATAGGGTGCTCCCAGATGTTAGTTAATGCTACACCCTGACTCACAGTCTTGGAAGCTTCCTGACTTGAGCTTTCTGATTAAAAGAAGATGTTTGCGACTCTTGTCTTAGTAGTATTTAACCGGACGATTTTCTCGAGGATAATAATTTTGATAATTAAAAGTTAGAAGCGTATCTTTTTAGTCCATTGGAGGCAGCATTTAAAATATCTGGTATCATCAGATACTCCTCAGGGTTCGGGGCTGACTTAATTCTTCCACTTCCAAGCACCGAGTTTAGAGTTCGCACTCAGTGCTTGGGGAGGGGTTCTGTAGCCCTCCTTTGACACCGTAGCTGCCAGTGAGCGAGGTGACCGGTGCCATTTTCAGTCCATAGCCATTGACAGGAGTATTTGAGATGTAGCGGTTGCCTCTTCCATCCATGAAGAACACCCTGAAGATTTTATTGGTTGGGTTTATTAATTTAAGGCTGAGTTTTTCTAGATCTAATTAGGCATTCCTTTTACTGGGTTACAAACAGGTAATTAGTTGCCTCATTTTTCACCAACTTCCCAGCTTTCTCATCCTCCTTTTCCATGGTAACTGAGGCTCCCTATAGCCAGTGAAATTCTGGTATGTTCTCTCATTAGAATTAACTCCTTTAGAACATTGTTAAGAGCAGATTGGCTAATGATGTCTCCAGAGCTGAGAGCATTTGGCGCGGCGGGGAGGGCTGCTGTTTTAAAAATGTAGACATGTGTCATGATGCCGTTCTTGCCGGCTTCTTTTGAAATACTGATTTCCTACCCACTGTTTTTTGTCTTCAGTTATTGCCAAAGCCTTTTGTTTTGAATTCTGTGTTCAATAGTAAGTTGCAATTGACTTGCAGTATGAGCACTTGCATGTCTCTGATGTGAACGTGCTCCCCTTGGAACTGCATGTTGAGTTGTGAATTTAAAGCAGCTTAGAGCAGTAGTTAACTATGATGGATTAATTTTTGAGATAATTTACTGCCCAGAATTTTAATCTGCTAGAAAGAACGGACCTAAATCGTGAAGATCTGCAGTGTGGCCAGTATTATTAAGGACAAAATTGTGAAAGTGTCTTTGAGAAAAATGATCTTAGGGAACTACTTAATTTTGTAGGTCTTGAAATATTGCAGCTTCTCCCATCCGAGCTGTCAGAGGCTTTTAAGAGAGAAGGTTTGATTCCCCTAGTATATTCTTAAAAAGTAAATGACATGCATACTAATTTTGGCATCGCTAGGAATTTTTAGAAAATATTAATGAGGACATTTTAGGTTAAAATGTACATTTCTTTTAATTGGAAGGAATCAATATGTTTATACTCTTTCATTTTTTTTTAAGATTTTATTTATTTATTTGAGATCACAAGTAGACAGAGAGGCAGGCAGAGAGAGAGAGAGGAAGGGAAGCAGGCTCCCCGCTGAGTAGAGAGCCCAGTGTGGGGCTCGATCCCAGAACCCTGGGATCATGACCTGAGCCGAAGGCAGAGGCTTTAACCCACTGAGCCTCCCAGGAGCCCCAGTATACTCTTTTCATTTTTCAAATCAAAAATAAAAGCCTAGAGTCCTAAAAAAGGGAAGTAGCTTCCCCAACATTACACATAGGACTAGTGGCTTTTTCCAGTTAGTTCCCTTCTGTTCAAGAAATTTGAAATGTGAAGGACAGTAAAATAACCTGCCTGAAGTTTCAGAATGATACAGCCATGACCGGACTGAAAGACGGGTGTCTGAGCAAATGTCCGTCCGCTTCCATCTGCTTTGTCACTGATGAGACATCTTAGAAATTGTCAAAATATGGGTAGATTTTTGTCATCTGTGAAAAATCAAGGGAGTTATTCCTATCAGGTGTTAACATAAGGAAGTAGAAATAAACGTGTTCTTGCATCTTGGGGTTTTTTTTTAAATTGCTGCATAAGAGGTGTTAATTGCAAAGCAGCCTACAGACAAAATCAGTTTATGTTAATTTTGGAGAAGAATATATATAGGGCAGAAAAGAGTCCCTAAGTTATATGTACACTTCAAATGTTAAAGTTAAATTGAACACCTGGATTTTGTTTCTTCTAAGTCTCTCAAAACGACATTACTGGATTTTTATACCTACAAGGTAATGGTGGGGTTTTGGGGGGTTTTTTTACCCATATCTTTAAAAAGACTGGTATGGCCCTTCCTTTTAGCAGAGATGTCTGCATTAAACTCTTGTTTTTCACAGTGAGAAATTTGCTCTTGCCTAATGGCACTAAGTTGTTGACCAGTTCTAGGACTTTTGCTAATAGCCGCAATCTCATCAGATGAAATCACTTCATATAAGTAAAGTGCTTAGAACAGTGCCAGGCATATAGCAAACGCTATGTAGATGTCAGCTGTTGGGGGTAGTGATTTCTGTTCTGTCTTGTTTTGTAAAGCAGTGTTCTTTTCCCATTATTACTAAGCTCAGGCCTACAACAGATTCCAAAAAAAAGAAAAGAAAAAATTCAAGTGTACTACTTTGGAAACATTTTGGAAGCAAGCCTCAAACCCCGGAAGCCAGTCAATATTTTGCAATTCTTTCTGAAATCTTTCCTTCCTCCTAAGTCATTATGCCTCTGGATTGCTTTGCCGGGCTGCTAGTCCTGCACAGAGCTAGAAAGGTGACGAAACTTTAAAAAGGAATAAGAAATATATACATACATTCCATAAAGGGGGGGATGCATAGAACCAGAGCCGCAGGGTCCCCAGGAGTTTGCTCACGCATGACAAAGCCAGTCCTTCCTCCTCGAGGGAAAACAGCACTAACAGTGAGCTCATTAGTATCACAACGGGCAGCTTTGAAAAGATTCATTGAGAAGACTTCAGCACAGTAGTTGGCCTTGTGTTATCTCTGATTTCAGAGATTCTTGTTAAGCCAGGGTTTTCTACTCAAATAACTTTATCATCCGCTGGAGCAATTCTTCCCTAACGTAGAAAACAGAATGCAAGTTCTCCTGTGGTGAATCCATTGAAGAGATGTAAATCTTCAATTATCCCTTTTAATTTTTTTTTTTTTTTAAATCTACGCAACAGAGGAAAATGCCGTGAACCTGAAAGTTTGAGCATGGCTGGAAACATTTATTTAAAAATATTTAGAAAACGAAGGTCCCATAACCTCTGTAAGGCAATTAAAAATTAACTGATTTAATTGCAACTTTGCTTTCCTTCCCAAGCATGAGCTTAACTACAGTGACGTAAGTAATTGCATTAGGATATTACACAGTAGACCTTCTTTTTTTTTTTAACTTATCATTTGTATTGTTCCTTTTTTCCATGCTATATATAAATTTGGATTTATTTTTTAGCTGCAGTTGTGATCATGGAAACCAACCTGATTTTTAGAAGCAAACGATCTTGAGGCAAAAATAGGCCTAATAAAAAAATAATTTTTCATGGGTCATTTCTGAGGCAATAACATTTTGTGTGTGTGTTTTTTTTTTTGTCATGCAATTGATTTATGGTACCTCAGTCATGAGGGAGAGCACATATTTCAGATTTTAATTTACTAGACAATGTCTAAATAAAGTGGAGTTCAGAGGGGGGTAGAATAGTGAATATTGCGTTTTTACTAAGCAGATATATAGTTCTCAAAGGGGAGTTATGGGAACCAAACGCATCACAGTGAAGACTGCTACATTCACTGGTCACCATTTTATCATATAATCTTGGCTCAGAAGTTAAGGTAAATGAAATGAAACGAAAGTTGGATTTAAAAAATCAGTGCGCATAAAAATAATTTCCACCATTTAGAAATTGCCCAGAGCGCCTGAGTAGTCAGCTCTACGGTATCGATACCTAACAGGAGTCCGTATAATGGCCAGAAAGGAGGGAAAATGATTTTGTCAGCTGTGTGCAATATTTAGTCTGTGCATATGTATCTATAGACATAAGTAGACATAGACATACTCGCACACGTGCACACCCATTCTGAAATTCCACCTCTGACATTACAGGTAGAGCAGAGATATCACATCTCTGAAAATTAAGCTTGATCTTGTGGAACTTAACTACTCCCTAGTTTCCTAAATAAAATTGGGTTTGTAAGTCCAAGGAAAGTCAGGATTTTAGAAAGGCAAGAGGAAAAAGCATGGCTTCGAGAGAGAGGGCCACCCACAACACCTGTAACAACTTTTACACCAGTTACAGAAAATCTCTGTCTCTCTGATTTGGATTAATGGATTAGTGGATTAATGACAAAAAGGTTCCCTCCTGGGAAACCTAAATAGAAAAGGCCCTCGCAGCTTTTGGACCGATGTCTTATGCAGGACACAGGGGTTGGTCAGTGGCACATGGGGCTGGATTTCGAACTTATCCTCGTGTCTGTTCTCATAGATACAACCTGAACTGCTACATATTGTGACCCTGGTCTATGAACTTCAAACATGGGCTGTACCTCCTGAGATGTGTGTGTGTGTGTGTGTGTGTGTGTGTGTGTGTGTAACTGTCACTAATGCCAAAGGCCTTTAACTCCTGGTTTGTTAAGGAACTCTTCCATTAGGGTAGTATGTTTCCTTCTGTAAGTCCACTTATGTGTTATAAACACCTTCTTTAAAAAAGATTTTATTTATTTAGAGACAGAGTAAGAGAGAGCGAGCACACATGTACAATGTGGGGGGCAGAGGGAGAGGAGGAAAGAATCCCAAGCAGACAATCTGCTGAGCATGGAGCCCTGCACGGGGCTTGATCTCACGACCCTGAGATCATGACCTAAGCTGAAATCAAGAGTCAGACACTTAACTGACTGAGCCACCCAGGTGTGCCTTTTAAAGAAATTTTTTTGAAGATGCTACATCTTTCTCTGATTTTATTGGAAGTAGCTACCTTTTAGCCATGTGCATTGGTAGATCAGAAACAAGTTTGGGGGGCGCCTGCCTTCGGCTCAGGTCGTGAACCCTGCATCGGGCTCTCTGCTCAGCAGTGAGCCTGCTTTCCCCCTCTCTCTGCCTGCCTCTCTGCCTACTTGTGATCTCTGCCTGTCAAATAAATAAATAAAATCTTTAAAAAAAAAAAAAAGAAAGAAAGAAACAAGTTTGGGCTTAGGTGAGTTCCAGTATTTAAAAGTATATAGTTAGTCCTGGGACACCTGGGTGGCTCAGTCCGTTGGGCTTCCAACTCTGCACTTCAGCTCAGTTCATGATCTCAGGGTCCTGGGATCCAGCCCCGCCTCCGGGCTCTGCACTAAGCAGGGAGTTTACTTGAGGATTCTCTCTTCCTCTCCCTCCCCCCATCCCTCCCCTCTTGTGCTCTCTCTCTAATAAATAGATCATTAGAAAATATAGAGAGATCTTCAAAAAGTATGTAGAGCTGCGTAGTCCTTTAGAACATCCATTCATTCAATCAGGCAGTTCATTTTGTTCATGTTCTTCATGACGAGAAGCTAGATTTCATAAACACTCAAACAAGACAGCTACTGAAAAGCCTCTTTTTTGTGTTTATTCTCCAAAGTTATCTTTTTGCTGCCAACTCAACCCATTTCACCTGATTACTCTGTAAATTTTGATTGAACAAGCTCTTACCATTGTACCCCCAAAAGAGGTTTTTTTGGTTGAATCATTAAATTTTCGTCTTCCTTTGCATTAAGAATTGTGGTTAAAGAAGGGGGATCCTTCAGCTTTTTCTCTCCAGGGAACGAACAAAGCCTTACTTGTTGGTAGAAAATTAGCAGATTTACCTATGCCTTTGAACCACACTAGTTGGCGGCTTAAAGCGGATTCAATGCATGTGGCACTTAACATTTTTGACAAGTGTGTGCAATTGACTGTCTGGCTTCATTTTCAGTAGCAGTATTGTAGTATTTATTTAGCATCTTAAAAGCGCAAGCCCAGTTTTCCATCTCCTTTTAAGACTCACCACCCATATGGGAAAATGTAGGTGAGCAGAGTCTAAAAGAAGATAGAAGGGCTTATCGTTGCACCTGATTTAAAACAAACTGTGAATTAACAACATATTTCCATTCGTAGATTTTCCAAGAGGTAAAAAGCAGCGATATTGCTAAAACCTTTCGCAAGGCAATCAACAGGAAAGAAGGGATTTGTGCTCTTGGAGGCACTTCTGAGCTGTCCAGTGAAGGAACGCAGCATTCTTACTCAGGTAATAATAGTATGACTTCCATGTGCATCAGGGTAACACAATGACCTAAGGAGGGCTGCTAGAGAAACATTGCTTTCTAATTAAGAATACAGCAGAAGCCCACTGTGGTGTGTATTTAGACCTGGGACTAATAACTTGCTGTAACGGCATTGTAAGTATTTATTGTATGGCTTTGTTAGCTTGCAAGACATATTATATGATGTGAGCAATGATCGGCTTTATTATAGTAGAACTCTACAGGAATGTAAGTAATGTTTTTTTAAAGAATTTGGTAACTGGGCGCCTGGGTGGCTCAGTGGGTTAAGCCGCTGCCTTCGGCTCAGGTCATGATCTCAGGGTCCAGGGATCGAGTCCCGCATCGGGCTCTCTGCTCAGCAAGGAGCCTGCTTCTCTCTCTCTCTCTCTCTCTCTCTCTCTCTGCCTGCCTCTCCGTCTACTTGTGATCTCTCTCTGTCAAATAAATAAATAAAATCTTTAAAAAAAAAAAAAGAATTTGGTAACTAACTTTTCTAAGGATTGGTTAACCCTGCTCATTCTCTTGTTTTTTTCTGTTAATTTTGTACTTCGTAAGAGCCATGTTGTATTCAAGTATCTGGGTTTCCAAAGGGGAGAACTCATGTCTGTGACACGTTAACTTTCAATACTACTGTACAAATTATTTTAGGCTTTAGAGTCAACCTAGAGTGTGAACTAATTTCTTGTTATTCAACCTGACTATAGAGGAAGAAAAATATGCCTTTGTTAACTGGATAAACAAAGCTTTGGAAAATGATCCTGACTGCAGACACGTAATACCCATGAACCCGAATACTGACGACCTGTTCAAAGCTGTTGGTGATGGAATTGTGCTCTGGTAAGATGTTGGTTGATTTTGTGTCCCGATTTCCAAAACAGCCTTCCACCTAATTGATATATTATCGGTTTCTGGGTGCTTGACGGCTTCAACTCGAGAAACAGAACTGAAAGTCGTCTGGGTGTGTCTGAGAAAGTACCAGCAAGATACAAATCTATAACTCACTCATTTAGACTGGGAACCGCTTTATAAGGAAGCTGCCAGCTTCCGATTTCTGCTGAAGTACAAGCAGAACATGACAACTTAGTTGGACTTAAGTATGTCAGTGTCTACTTATTTTTAAAGTACCATAGCTTTAAAATACAAAAAAAGCTTCCTCTTTAGTTCTCACTCTCCAGTTACTTAGTTCTGAAAACTGTGTTGGTCCTTGCTGCCCCAGAGCCAACAGTATCTTGGTAGAAAGGATGTAAGATGATCAACACTTTGTCCTGTTGATGGTCTAAGAGCATGTGCTCCTTAATCAGTCGGCCTGGGTTCGTCCTCTGCCTCTGGGGCTCAGGAGCTTGTAAGAGCAACCCAAATGCAGTCAGAATATTCAAACCCCTTTGCATTTCACGCTGCATCTACTATGATCCCCATTAAAAACCATAACATAATCCCATTTCGTCCATGTATAGGCACTAAAGAACTAATTCTCCCATGTGTTTTAGTACAGAGAGATAATCACATGATGCTGTTGATTTGATGTTTAAATCTGACATAGGGGCACCCGGGTGGCTCAGTCCGTTGAATGTCTGCCTTCGACCCAGGTCATGATCCTGGGGTCCTGGGATCGAGCCCCACATCAGGCTCCCTGCTCAGCGGGAAGCCTGCTTCTCCCTCTCCCTCTGCAACGCCACCCCCCGCCCCCGCTTGTGCTCTCTCTCTCTCCCAAATAAATAAAATCTTAAAAAAAAAAATAAATCTGACATGGAAAGAAGCATGGCTTTCCCTGTGTGGAATCACATAGGCACTAAACTGTTAGACAATAAAATGTTAGTGTCTTCATCCAGATTTTACCAAATGAGATTCTACCTGAAGAAATCACAGATTCTATTCTAATTAGCAGAACATTTCTTTATCTCACAACTGGATTAGCAATACCAAATATTGTGCCTAGCTCATCATTTAGGCTCTCAATAAATATGGTGAATGAAAGAATCTCATGCTCAATAAATTGACCTCCTTGTGAATAAATGGTCATTCTTATTTGTGAATTTTACAATCAAGAAAGAGACACAATTTCCATGTGGGATTTTATCTGTTTTTAAAATGTATGCAGTAGGGTTTTTCCAGTATCCAAGTTATTCATTCTTACAAAATGATGGGAAAATACAAAAAATTAAAATGATAAAGTATGCCCCAATCCCCAACTCAGAAATACTCAACTACTGTAAACATTTTGTTCTTTTTTTTATGTGCATTTTTCACATGTATAGTTTTTTGTGTGTGTGATCAACATGGTAAAAGTCATATATTGCACTGATTTTTTTTCAGATTACATGAGAGACATGTCATGTGCCTTAAAACATTTGTGAATATTTACAGGCTCTTTAAAAGTAAACCAACTCCCTGCTAATTTGTGTTTCAGTAAAATGATCAACCTTTCAGTTCCTGATACAATTGATGAAAGAGCAATCAACAAGAAGAAACTGACCCCCTTCATCATTCAGGTACAAACGGATATCCCTGCCCTCTTCCCTGAAACGGCCTTGTGAAATCCTATTCTGTAGCCCATCAGTTCTGCCCTTCATGTCTTCCCATTTAATTCTTCTAACAACTCTTGAGTTTAGGACTATTACCCAGATTTGACAGAGGAGAGCTGGGACTCAGGCTCCTGAGCTTGCCCAAGGTTAACATTGGAACTGAAGTTCAAATCCAGGACTAACTCCAAAGCCCTGTGTTCTTCTCGGTACATGCTGTGTTCAAGCATGCAGAAATAAGCAAAAATATTTAAGCTCTTAGTTAATTAGCATGCTTAAGCAATGGAGCATTTTTCTTTTCTGTCAAGTGAGTGTTACACTCTGAAATAGCAAAATTCCCTCGGGCAACAGCACCTCTTGGGATGCAGAGATTACAATTCTAGAACTTTTTTCAGGTGCATGGATTAGACCCCTCTTTTAGACATTTTTAGAAATACAGTGACTCTGGTGCCTGGGTGACTCAGTTGGTTAAACGTCTGCCTTGGGCTCAGGTCATGATCCCGAGACCTGGGATAAAGGGACTCCCTGCTCAGCAGGGAGTCTGCTTCTCCCTCTCCCTCTGCTGGTCTCTCTCACAGGCACGCTCCCTGTCGATAGACAGATAGATAGATGGATAGATAGATGGATCGATCGATAATCTTGGGGGAAAAAGTAGAAATACAGCCACTCTTGGGGCACCCGGCTGGCTCAGTTGGTAGAACCATACAAGTCTTGATCTCAGGGCTATAAGTTGGAGTCCCAGGTATAGAGAGTGCCTAAAAATAAAATCTTTAAAAAGAAAACAGAAATGCGACCCTTAACCCGCATGGAGAGCCTGACTCTAGTCACTCAGCCTTTTCTTTTCGTGACAATGTCCGTGTACTTCAAAAGAGACCAAATAAAAATACCAAGTTAACGTCCCACGGAATTCTGGAAAAGACAGTAACAGTAATAAAGCTGAGATTTGTTTCAGCTATGCCTTTAACACCAAAGTCTGGAGTCGGTTGTCTGGACTTTGTTTTCTGTGGATCATGTGCGGCTGAAATTAATTTCCTCATTGAGCATTATTTTCAGTAAAGGGAGTAGACTCTTAAAAACTGGAAAGGTCAAGAAGCAAATGTGTACGTTGGCTCTCTTGCAGGAAAACTTAAACTTGGCCCTGAACTCTGCTTCTGCCATTGGGTGTCACGTTGTGAACATCGGTGCGGAGGATTTGCGGGCTGGGAAACCACATCTGGTTCTGGGACTGCTTTGGCAGATTATTAAGATCGGGTTGTTTGCCGACATTGAATTAAGCAGGAATGAAGGTAATGGAACACAGTCATTATTTTGAAAGTTGTTTATTGGGTATTTTTCCTGGTCACACAGACTGTCGTGCTTTCACTTAATTGAGGCGATTAGATGATAACTAGAATTAACAGAAGGTAATGCTATAGTGTTGATGTGGAAAACAGTCTAATTACAACTTTTCGTCTTTAGTAGTAATTCACATTTGCCTGGTGCTTTAGAATGCATTTTATAATAAAGACACAAAAGCACAGAGTTGAAGGAACTTTCCCAAGGTCCCCAGTCTGGGTTTCTTTTCATTTCTAATCTGTCTGCCCAACTCCCGCCCCATCTTCACCCCTGGATTTTGAGACCTCATCAAACTAATCTACCCCACCCTTGATGGTCACTTTTTCTGAACTTCTTACAACATGGGGTTTCCCATCACACCGTGGATTTGTAGATTCTGTAAGCACACACGATACAATTATCTTATGTCCTGGGCAATTCTACATGATCCTCTTCCTGCAACGCTTTAACTATGAACCACCACTCCAGATATTCCTATTTTATTCCAGAAATCGCACTCTCAATTCTTGTCACTTCTGGGAAATATCTCTTTGGGGTTCTCAGTCTTTTCAAGGTCCCCCAGAATATCTGTCAATGGTTTTATTATTTTGCACATTGATCCATGATAAGACTTTTTTGCACTTTTGAGACTGTTGCCCTTGCCTTTGTTTCAATCTGCTCAAAGGTACCTATATTTGAACTATATTTAAACAAAGACGATTACTCTCATTGCTGGCCTTCTTCGAGGTGGTGTTTGTCTTGTTAAAGAAGCTGAAGTCCAGGGACACCTGGGTGGCTCAGTTGTTAAGCATCGGCCTTCGGCTTAGGTCACGATCTCAGGGTCCTGGGATCGAGCCCCACATAGGGCTCCCTGCTCGGCGGGAAGCCTGCTTCTCCCTCTCCCACGCCCCCTGCTTGTGTTCCTCTCTCTTGCTGTGTCTCTCTCTGTCAAATAAATAAAATCTTAATAAAAAAAAAAAAAAGCTGAAGTCCGTTCGGAAAGGCAAATACAATCACATTGGCGTGTGGAATAAATCAGCCTTTCTCTGACAAGGTCTCAGGTGCACAGATGTCAGGCTGTTTAATCCTCTCTGGCTTCTGACGTGGTGGGGATGGGGAGCAAAAGGATGGTCTTGGACAAGTGACCTGCTGCTTCTACCCTTGCTTAAGTCCCCCTCAGCATCAGAATGATGTGGCATGAGGCGGAGTCCATGAGAGATGAAATTTGCCTGATAAAGGTATCACTTAGACCTCTTCAGAAATCAGGCAGTTTCAGTCTTCTTGTTCAAGGGAAACCTTTTATTTCAGGGGAGGTGATTACTGCCTTAGGGACCACATGACGTACTCCTGCAACCTTGCTGGAAGTTCAGCTGTTTTCCATGCAGACACCCCCTCCTTCTACCTAGTACCCATAGGGAATACTTACCAGGAACCCTTGGCTTCTTCACATTCAATTCAACAACAAAAAATAACTGAGCAGCTTTTACATGTTAGGTGCTATAGAAAATGTTAAGCTAAATTCTATCCCTTTAAAAATAGATTTAACCCGGGGCGGCTGGCTGGCTCAGTTGGTGGAACGTGGGATGCTTGATCTCTGGGTTGTTGGAGCCCCATGTTGGCTGCAGAGATTATTTTAAAAAATAAAACTATTTTTAAGAATAGATTTACCCCGGGGCGCCTGGGTGGCTCAGTGGGGTAAAGCCTCTGCCTTCAGCTCAAGTCGTGATCTCAGGGTCCTGGTATCAAGCCCCACATTGGACTCTCTGCTCAGAGGGGAGCCTGCTTCCTCCTCCCTCTCTCTCTGCCTGTCTCTCTGCCTACTTGTGATGTCTGTCTATCAAATAAATAAATAAAATCTTTAAAAAAAATAGATTTACCCCTTCGAGAGTCCATTAATTACATTTAAATATAAGTACTATCAGGTTAAGTATAGTCAAAAGGTTAAGTGTAAAGGTGCCACAATTTTAAACATCCTCTCCCAAATCTCTAATTTTAACATAATTAAACAAGGACAGTTTAGGGGTGGCTTGGGTGGCTCAGTTGGTTGAGTGTCTGACTCTGGGTTTCAGCTCAGGTCAGTATCTCAGGGTTGTGGGATCAAATCCCAAGCCGGGCTTTGCACTCAGTGGGGAGTCTGCTCGTCCCTATCCCTCTGCTTCTCTCCCTGCTCACTCTCTCTCTCTCAAATAAATAAGTAAAATCTTGAAAAAAAACAAGGTAAACATATGTCATAATGTAAACTGTTTTAAAAGCTGTAACTTATTTGCCATTTAGAACATAAAGACTAGTAAAATATAGTATATATTTGCTATATATTCTCATAACAGTGTCTTTATCTACATCATCATATAATTATCTACTAATATATTATCTTTTATTAGACTGACAGTACCTGAAAATGAGGAACTAGGTCAGACCAGTTATTGTCCCTCTGTTACCTAACAGAGTATCCAAAGAACGAATGAACTTGTAATGACCATTGTCATGTAATATCTTGGTTGTGGGTTTTTTTTTTCCTTCTAGCCTTGGCTGCCTTACTTCGAGATGGTGAGACTTTGGAGGAGCTTATGAAGTTGTCTCCGGAAGAGCTTCTGCTCAGATGGGCAAACTTTCACTTGGAAAACTCAGGCTGGCAGAAAATCAACAACTTCAGTGCTGACATCAAGGTAACCATGCAAAGAACCGTCATGCCTTTGGGCGTGGATACGATGGCTTGGGTGACTACCAGCCAGACAGAGGGAAAATCCTGCCAGGATATTGCCGGGCCTTGTTGGCCCTTGGCCCTGATGGTAGATTTCAGGAGAGCTGAAACCTAGAAGGTACTCTCCTTCTGTGGCAAATGGTCAAAGTATTACAGTCCTAAAGCTTTCTGTTCTGCTCCCTGTTAAACATGGAGTACCAAAGGGTGGGCCATGACCATTCTCTTCCTAACTGCCTTTCCCAGACCTCAGGGTACCTGTTAGTAAATCCTGGGAGAGAGAGAAAGGGCCCCAGGAGTCTCCTCCTCCTTTCTTACTTGGCTTCTTTCCATGATGTGCTCCCACCATTAGCCATTGAGTTCATGAGGGTAGTGATGAGCTCTTACATATGGCTGTCTCTCCTACCTCAGCCCTGCCCTACGGTCCTCCTACCAAAGCCCACTTCTAACCCCCAAGACCCGCCACATAAAAGACCTTCAGACATTTCTTGTGCTACATTTTGGCGTTTGTGTCTCAAAGGCAGTAAGGAAAAAACTAGCAGAGGAAGGAGACGTTGGTAGCTTCCCAAAGAGGGGGCCCAAAATTATGATGGCAAAAAAAAAAAAAATTCTCATTCATTGACTCCACTCTCTCCCAAATCTGAGTGTTGGGACACAGGGAACAAATTCAAGGATCTTCACCAGATGTCACTGACCCACAGGGCTATGAAAACGATAGTCTGTGATCCTATCGATGTGCTCAGCGGGGAGAGGGAGCCTTGGGATGTTTGCATTACTGGTTTCACCAGGGACAGTTAAGGATAGCTCCCAAATTACAAAACCAGCAGGCTTTCTACCTCTTCTTTTAACTTACACAAGATGTTTGGTCGGGTATATTTTTGCTTTATGCACGAGCTGTGTTCCCAGAAACCACTCTTAAATGGATTTTCTGTTTGGGACCTCTTTGAGAGGTACAAAGGGAAATATTGTTTAAAAATGGAGCCTGCCGTGGATCTTTTTAAAAAGCAAAGGATTGTTCAGTAATGTGAAAAAGAAAGGCTTCCGTTTGGTCTATACTCCAAGTGTAATTTTGCCCGGTAAAGCCCTTTCTGGGAGAGAAGACCCTGCTGGGTCCGCTCTTTTTACCCACTCTTGTCAAGGGCAGAGGATTAGATTATGAGCTGCTCATGCACCATTAGGAAGAAATTGTAAGCACAAGTGCTTTCACAACGGTAATGCACGATTACGGGAAGGCAAATCCTGTGCCTGCTAATGGCAGGATCTGGCTTTGCATTTCACGAATGGCTCTGAAGTAGATTTCACTGGCGTGATTTTCTCCTCTTTTAGAGTCATTTCCGGCATTCTGTATCCACCTCATTCAGGGAGCTTCTGTAAGATGCAGCTCCCAGAGATTCGTATTTGGTAGGTTTGGGGCCGAACCCAGTCTCCTGTGTATTGAACAGCTTCCCCCAGGTGATTATGGTGCCGGTTATCTACAGAGTTTGCTAGGAGAGACGTTCCTCATAAGCATGTCTGGACTGTCAAGGTTCAGTAATAGAATCTGATCAGTGCTGGGAGGGTCATCTTCCAATTCAGCAGGATTAAGGAGTCTTGACCCCAGTTTCTGTCCCCTCAAGGCAGACGCTTACTTGACATGGTTGAAGACTGTTATGAAGTGTTTGCCCCGGTGCCGTGGTTTTCAAGTTGTCCTCTGTGGAGGGTCCACACAGCCTGAATCCACCAAGCCATGTAAAACCATTCAAACAATGGATGAGTTCAGGAGCTTAAAACAAAAAGAAAATCTTCGGGGACACCTGGCTGGCTCAGTCGGTGAAGCGTCCGACTCTTGATCTCAGCTCCGGTCTTGATCCCAGGGTTGTGAGTTCAAGCCCTGCATTGGGAGCCTAGTTAAATATCTTGTTTGGTTAACTATGTTCAGGTCATACAGGGTTAAATGTTACTTCACCAACTCAAGTGTTACTTAAAAAATGTCATTTAAATTTACAGTTAAATACGTCTTTAACATAGCTAATCTCTTCTCCATAGGTTATGGTATATATTGTATTTCCTAATGATGTAACCTGTCTATTTTCTCTTTCCCTACGCTTCCTGGATTTCTGCTCCTCCTTTCTTTTCTTGCTTGTTTTATCTGCCAAGCTTATTGACTTCAGTAATTCAGTGAAGGTACAGAACTAGTTATGTGTTTACTAGCTTTATTGTATTGGCGATGTTAATCAGTTATAAAGTCATCATAAAATCCAGTTATCCATATTCGAGGCAGAAAGTAGGCCAGATGGCTGAACTTTTCTGGGGGAAAGATCTGTTAGATTAGAAGACAGCGATTTGTGCCATATATTCTCACAAAATCCCGTGCAAATATCCTTCCAAACATAGGACAATGGGATACATTCATTCTTTGTAGATGTGATCTCACTGAGATTTTCAATTCATTTATAGGATTCCAAAGCCTATTTCCACCTTCTCAATCAAATTGCACCAAAAGGACAAAAGGAAGGTGAACCGCGGATAGATATTAATATGTCAGGTTTCAATGTAAGTATAAGTGTTCATTTGAATTCTACAGTCTTACAAAGGGATTGTCAATTTCTTCTCAATAACAAGAAGTTTGATAATTGCATGTAATGGTGTTAAAAATTTTGAGCGTTATTTTAAAATTTATTGCTGTGGGTATAATTCAAAGACTGAAAGATGAGCTTTGGTGTATTTTGGTAGTTTATTAATGCATTCCATAACGATGGCGCTATTGGCTTGTATTGATTGCATAAAATATTCAAAGCCAGGGTCGGGAAATAAGTGCTAGAAACTAACCTTTTCCAAGTGTTTGGATTATAATCACAGTGAGAGATGTAATGACAAGATAGTCATATATGCATTGTAGTCTTCGTGTGTTGAGAGTAACATGACTGTATACAAACTGCAGATCCAACTTGGGGACTTACTCATGGACCATATTCCCTGGTTATATCACTCAGTTGTTCAGTGACCTTGGACAGATTTCTTCGCCAAATTGGATCTCACTTTGCTCATCCATAAAGGAAGGAGTTGGACTAGACAATTTAGTCTTAAGTTTCTATGATCCCCTGGTGCGTTCTTTGTACCCATTAGGTATAGAATGCATTGTACTAATTTAGAGAATCCATGTTTCTAGCCCAGTAGGCAATAGGATCGAGTAGATAACATGGGCTAAACCACTTACAATGCCCTTATCAGAACTGAATTTGTAACCGACTTGTGTGCTTCTATTTCTGTCTGGATGTGGGATGTGAGACTCTTTGGTTCAGGTGACTTGGTATGGATCAAGAGCTGTCCTGTGCATGGGGCAGCTGTCCGCGCAGGCTCTCCGGGTGACCTTGGGCCTGCGTAAATGGCACCAGTATGCTAACTGATGCTGATTTTAAGACCGCTCTTCTCTGTTCATGCTTCCGTGGTTGATCTTCAACCACTCCTTTGTCTCTTCCCTCCCCAGAATCCTTCAAGGACTCCCCATTGACTCTAGACTTCAGTCTGAAGTGTTCCGCTTAGCATTTAAGGCCCTACATGGTCTTGCTCCCCGTCTGCCAGCGAGTGCTCTTTCCCGCACTTAGTCTCCACTCCCACGCCCTCCCTCAACACTCATTTTACCTCTGAGCCTTTGCTCACACTTTTCCCTTGTCAGTCGGTGTCCTTCTTCATCTTTTTCAGCTTTATTACCTTCTTTAGGGCCTAATTGACAGATGATTAATTTTTTTTATATCCATTATCACATCAGGTTTTCTCATGATCCTTTGTAATACCTTCTGGCTCCCATCCTATACTCCCCCATCCCAGGCAACAACTCATTTGCTTTCTTTTGCTTTATATTCATTTGAGTTTTTACAAGTTTTATGTAATGAACCCCTACAGTATGGGTTTTTTTTTTTTGTGGTCTAGCTTTTTTCACTCAGTGTAATATTTTGAGATGCACTCATGTTGTCACATGTATCATAAATGCATTCCTTGTTTATTGCTAAATTATATTCCAGTGAATGGATATACCGCCATTTGTTTGCACATGTACTTGTTGATGAGCATTTGGATTGTTTCCAGTTTGGGGCTATTACAGATATAGCTGCTATTGAACATTCATAGAGAACTCTTTGTATAAATATATGCATTCATTTCTCTTTGGTAAATACCTAGGAATGAAATGGCTGAGTAATCGGGTATGTTAGGAAGCGGCCAATTCATTTTCAGTGTGGTTGTACATCTTACATTGCTACCGGCAGTATACAGAAGTGCCGGTTCATCCATATCCTCACCAGTACTTTAGTGTGGTCAGTCCTTTTAACTTGAATCATTCTAACAGGTGCCAAATGATCTGTCATTGTGGTTTTAATTTGTAGTTCCCTAATGACACATGGTGTTGAATATTTTTAATGTGGTTATTTGCCATCTATATATCATCATGTTCAAACATTTTGCCCATTTTTAATTGCATTGTTTGTTTTCTTATTAGCAAGTTTTGAGTGTTTTTATGTATCTTGGAGACAATGCCTTGATTGGATATGTGATTTGCAAATATTTTCTCTCAGTGTTTTTTAAAGAACACGCGTTCTTAATTTTGGCAAAGTCTGATTTAGTCATTTTTTTCTTTTATGGATCATGCTTTTGGTGTTGTATTTAAGAAATTTTAGCCTAACATAAGGTCACTAATATTTCTTCCTACGTGTTCTCCTAGAAGTTTTATAGTTTGAGGTTTTACCTTTAGAAATATAGTATGTTTGGGGTTAACTTTGCATATGGTGTGAGGTAGGGGCTGAAGTTTTTCATATATATTTTTATTTATTTATATTTCATTATTATATATTTGACTATTTAAAGTTGGTAAATAGCATAAAGCAAACAATATTAAAGTAATAACTGACAGGTTACAAGAAATAAAATAGGTTCTATGAGAGAAACTCACTATGCTCAGAGAGAACCCTGAAGAAAGGTTGAATCCACACAACTGTGGTTACTGATTGTTTTGCAGAAGGTAGCAAGGGTAACACAATGAATACACATTGTTCTGGAGTCTTGTACAATCAAGGCACCTCACTGGGGGTTAAAAAACTAATTAAAGATAGCATCACCCATTGAAGACAAAGCTAAGATTGTCAAATTATACATTCTGGGCAGTTTTAGTTTAAAAGTAACATCCCTCAAGTTTCATTTATCTTTATCTCTTCTTTTCCCACCAGATTGTAAAACCCTTCCTCCCATGACACTGTTCTGCAGAAGTGCTTACGTTTGCCCCCGGGCAAAACTGTACCGTGTATATGTAGGAAGTGCCCAGATTGCCACTCTGTTCCTTTCCAAGTGTAGGTCACTAGAAGCAGATCCAAAAGCACCCGTTCCTCCCACAGCTCCAGGTTTTTTACTTTTAGCCTTGGGAGGTAGGCATAGTGGGTGTTTGAGAAACCATACTTTTTACATCAGGCTGAAATGATTGGATAACTTAAATTCTTCACCAAACCCTGTGTTAATCCAGAGCTGGGCACTCATCTTTTGGGGTGGGTTGGAGGGGGTGAGGAGGAATGGGTTTGGGGGACGGGTAACAAGTTAGGAGTCATGGGAATTAGTTGGAAGTAAGTATTCTTTACAGAAATGAGTAACTCTGCTTCTGCCTGGGTGGAAAAGTTAAGTCAAACAAACCGTAACACCTCCCCCCCCCCAAAAAAAAAATCCTTGAGGAGGAAAACTACAATTTGAAATGCAGTTTAAACCTGAAGTTAAATTATTGGAAACTGCTATTCTTGATGATTATCTTTTAAATATTTTCTCATAATTTCTCAACCCTTTTCAGTCTTAACACCTTCCTTAGGGCCCAGTTGAAAAATCTAAGCAGTTTTAGCTTTTTTCTTGATGAGTTTTCACAGGAGCGATGTAATCCCATTTGAATTAAATGTACTGTCCTTCGATAAATGATCTGGTTCCACCTAGCGTGCCTTTGAGGTACTGCACCCAAATACCACCAACTTTTTTTTTTTTTTTTTTTTTTTTTTTTTTTTTTTTTTTTTTTTTTTTGCTGTTGCATTCAAAACAATTTTATAATAAGTACCATATGCGGCTAAGAGAAAGTAGAATTGTATATCCAGCCTATCATTGTAGGGAAACAGGTCTGTTTTTAGTATAGCCTTTTAAAAGATGGCTTCTTCTTTTGCTTCAACAGGAAACAGATGATTTGAAGAGAGCTGAGAGTATGCTTCAACAAGCAGACAAGTTGGGGTGCAGACAGTTTGTCACCCCTGCTGACGTTGTCAGTGGAAACCCCAAACTGAACTTAGCCTTTGTGGCTAACCTGTTTAATAAATACCCGGCACTAACCAAGCCCGAGAACCAGGACATTGACTGGACTCTATTGGAAGGTAATTGAAGTTTTCTCACATTCTAATGTGTGGGACTACAGACCAGAAATACATAGGCCACGATGATTCTAGGATCTTGGCCTAATAAATTTCCTTCCCCACTTTCCTTTAGCAAATCTCTGCTGGAAGTAGACCCGAGGGCTGAGTAAAAAGTGGCAGCTGATGGAAAGGGATGATACTGGGAACCTTGTAAAGTAGTCAGGGTTCACCTAGCTTAGTAAACCAGTTTTATTTTAATATTTTAGAAATAAATCACCTTCTAAACCCCTCACAGAAAAATGTATATATGCATTAAATTTGACCTATCAGTTTATAATATTATTTCATTCTTCCACAGTCAGACTAACCAGACAGAATTAGCCCCAGTTCCTTTTCTATTCACCTACTCAAAAAATCATCATACAGGGGGCCTGGCCGGCTCTGTTGGTATTGCATACAACTCTTGATATAGGGGTTGTGGGTTTGAGCCCCACACTGGGTGTGGAGATTACTTAAAAATAAAATCTTTAAAATGATTAACGTATGGCAATTATTTGAGTTTGGGAAAGGTAGAGTTTACGTTTTCCAGATTATAAATGCATGAAGTATAAGATTCAAAAATGAGCAAATGTAATAGTCATTCCTCGAATATCCACTGGCAGGACTATGAAATTTTTAAATTTTATGCTTTTCAGGTTTCATGTAACTTGCAGCTGTAATATAGACATGTAAAAGAAGTGCTTGTGTGTAGCTTATAATTTATAAATATGTAGAGGGAAGGTGTAAATTCATGAGTATAGAGGGTTCACATGCTCGCCGCCCCAAAGTTTGAGCCCCCAAATTTCTTTAAAGGTAAAACCGATAACATCAGTTACTTTTGAGGTATGGGGATTTGGGAAGATACTGGGGAAGCCTTAGAAGGGGGAGGAGATTATACAAAATTCATAAATCTCTCAATTGTTTAACTGGTTATAAAGTTGTATTCTTCAATTCTAAAATAAATCAGCAAATATTTTAAAATAAGCCTATACCTAGAGAGACTGTATTTAGAGAAAATGTTTGGAGATTCGTATTAGAGAAAACCTCTAGATTTGTACAGAGGAAATGAATTCATCTTAGCTAGAACTGATATTATGTGCACGTATAAAAGGTATTTAATTAATATCTAAATTTTGTAAATACTCTTAATAGGAGAAACTCGTGAAGAAAGAACCTTCCGTAACTGGATGAATTCTCTTGGAGTTAATCCCCATGTAAACCATCTCTACGCGTAAGCCTTTCTACTGTTACTATCAGTTAGGAACGGCGTGAAGGTGTTGAATGGTAACAACCATTATCATTTTCCAAATACACAGAAGCCCAGATTCTTTCTTTACATGATCAAGAGAAAGAGTGTATGAATGTCTTTCCGACACTCTACGAAACAGATCCTTTATATTTTGTAACAGAGACCGGGAAAAGACCTAAGTGCACCGTCCATGATGTCCTGAGGCCTTTGTACTCACTGTTCTCTCAGCCTGGAACGTTCTTGACACCTGGAATGTCCTACTCCCTTACTATCCTCAGATTCAGACCCTGACCACCACCTAACGCTCTGTAACCCTAACCCCGGTTCTTTTCATTTTCATAGCAAGTATATACGCCCCCAAATCAAATTATCTATCGATCCATAACTTGCTTATTGTCACTCTCTGAGTCTGGTGTAAGGCCACGGGTTTTCATCCTATATGCCCAGCTTCTAGAGTCGTACCTCGCAAACCGGAAGCTCTCAAGTATTTTAAGTGAACGGGATGGTGTGAGCTCTATTTTTAGCACAGACTGCTAGAAAATGTGAGCCGTGGGTCTTATCTGTGGTCTTATATGTTTCAGTTGCCAGTGTACTATTACTGTGTTTAAGGAAACAAAAGCCCGGCTGTCTGAAAACACTGATGAAATTATTTTTATTATTTTATTCTTTATTTTATTCTTTAGCGACCTGCAGGACGCCCTTGTAATCTTACAGTTGTATGAACGAATTAAAGTTCCTGTTGACTGGAGTAAGGTTAATAAACCTCCATACCCAAAACTCGGAGCCAACATGAAAAAGGTAGATCGGAAGTTACTGCATACAATTGTTACAGGCAACTGTTTTCAGTCCCAATTCGTTTCTTTTGCTTGGGAAACTTGCATCTGAGCTTCCTGAGAACAGGAGCTGTGTCTCACGTATCCCGATGTGCTAAGTACCCAGCATCGCATGCACTCAGTACTCGCTCATGTGTACAGATGAAGCCGATGGAAAAAAATCCTCAACCGTTTGCTTTTTTGTGGGTTTACAGCTGGAAAACTGCAACTATGCTGTTGAATTGGGGAAGCATCCTGCCAAATTCTCCCTGGTTGGTATCGGAGGGCAAGACCTGAACGATGGAAACCAAACCCTGACTTTAGCTTTAGTCTGGCAGCTGATGAGAAGGTATGGCACCCAGTTTTAGCCGCTCAAGCACCACTGTCCTAGCGGTCTGTGATCCGGCCCTTGTCATTTTCAGATAGACGTGTCAATGACTACACCTTGGAAACTTTTGGATTTAGACTCTGAAGTGAGCTTAAGTGATGGATAGTTGGAAAAATGCTGAACAGCCTGTGTATCCATTTGAAAAAAGACCTCTTAGCTAGAGTGCTGACATGTATTCATTACACCCGAGTGCCAGCCGGAGCACAACTGCCTTTAGGTCACGGCCACTGTCAGACTAGTACAAAAGGTGAATTTTGGGTTTTTTCCTCATGAAGTAGCTTGGGACCTCTTCTTTCACTTCTCCTTCTAGATATACCCTCAATGTTCTGGAAGACCTTGGAGATGGGCAGAAAGCCAATGATGACATCATTGTGAGCTGGGTGAACAGAACATTGAGTGAAGCTGGAAAATCAACTTCCATTCAGAGTTTTAAGGTAAGAATTGCATGTTAGACGATTAACTGTTCTGTTTGCCAGAAAGGATCAGTAATTTGGAAGGACGGCCTCTAGTTGGTTGATTAGTGTGATTTAGTGTTGGGCTAACGACGAGCTTCTCTTCACCTGCTGGGCTTGGTGTGTGGCAACTTGATACAAGTAATCACGTGTTAACTTGTACAAACCGGAAACTCGGATTTATTGTCCTTTGGCACTAGGACAAGACGATCAGCTCCAGTTTGGCCGTTGTGGATTTAATTGATGCCATCCAGCCAGGCTGCATAAACTATGACCTTGTTAAGAGTGGCAATCTGACAGAAGACGACAAGCACAATAATGCCAAGTAAGAGACACTGACGATAACAATGATTAATACCCATGGGCTTTGGGTAGCCAGGCAGCTCTGCATTCTCGCTCAGGTTCAGCCACTTTATGAATGGTGGTGCCCTAGGAGCGCCTGGGTGGCTCAGTCGGTTGAGCGTCTGCTTTCGGCTCAGGTCATGATCCCGGGGTCCTGGGATCGATCGAGTCCCGCATCGGGCTCCCTATTCAGTGGGGAGTCTGCCTCTCCCCCTGGCTCATCCTCTCTCTCTCTTTCTCTCTTTCAAATAAATAAATAAAATTTAAAAATCTTAAAAAGCAAAACAAAACAAAAATAGAGTGGTGTCACCTGAGGGAAACCTCTCCAAGCCTCAGACACCTCATCAGTACATATGGGAGCAATAATACTTATCTTAGAGATTTTGATATGAATACAAGATATAAGAGCCTAGACTGTGCCTGACATCATAGGCGCTTGATCAGCTGTTGCTTTAGGGAATTACCAAAATAATATACTTTATCTGGCAACAAGGAGAAGATAGGCTAAGAATATTCATGCCATAGATAAGAATATTCTTCTGTCTTGCTCTTTTTCAAAACGCATTATTTACTGATGTCTTTTTTTTTTTACTGTGCACAGATCCCCTTTCCTACATATGTTGAGTTTATTATCTTGGTCCCTAAATGGGCAGGAGGCTTAAGCCTCCACTGAAACTATGTCTTGAAGGTTTCTTGCGCCTGGATGGCTCAGTCGGTGAGGCATTTGCCTTCTGCTCAGGTCGTGATCCTGGGCTCCTGAGATCGAGCCCTATGTCAGGCTCCCTGCTCAGTGGGGAGAAAATGATAATGATAATTTTTTTTTTCTCATCTTTGTATCACATCAGCTTCAAAATTAATTCTCATTGCAGAAAAGGGGTGAATATAATCATCCCCAAGTCATAGAGCCAGAAAACAAAGGTCACTTAAGAGTGACCTCAAAAAACTAAAATGGTACTGCTCCAAAGTTTCAATATGAAAGTTTCCCCTCCCAGCCAAATGATTTTACAAGAGGAAACATGTCTCTTGTCACGTCCTTGACTAACAAGAGGTCTGTCTTGATTTTTGTTTCCTCTGACAATAGGTACGCCGTGTCAATGGCTAGAAGAATCGGAGCCAGGGTGTACGCTCTCCCAGAAGACCTCGTGGAAGTAAAGCCCAAGATGGTCATGACTGTGTTTGCATGCTTGATGGGCAGGGGAATGAAGAGGGTGTAAAATAACCAATTCGAATAAAAACAGCCTTGCTCCCAGGTGCATGATTAGCAGGTCAGCTCTTTCCAGGGGAAGCGGTCATGGCTTAAAGAACTGATGGTCACTGCAAGGACTCATAGTTTTGATGAACAAGATTCCTCATCTTGAGAGCTCACAGGGGAAGAGTTTTAATGGCAACAGCTCCTCTTTCCCATAGTCACAGCTGGATTTGTCAGGCACACCTGAAATGCACTCACGGCCAGATCATTTACTCTCTCCTCCTAGATCGCTGCCCGTGACATTTCCCATTGCTGTATGTCGTTTCTGTGTATCTTTGCCGCCCCCTTAGAATGTCCGCCTCTTGGGACTTGCTTAGATGATTGGATATGAATACCATTAGACCATAACTTTGCTTTTCCATCCAGGATGCTAGTTCTTATTCGAGAACCGGGCTCAGAGGGTATCTGGATAAGAGTATCCTTTGCTTATCTTTGTAGTACAGAACATTGGCAGAAGTAATAGAAGCTTTTCATATTCTTTTATTCTTAAGATCAGTATCTTTTTACAGTATTCTTTCTACGTGATCTTTTTTGTACATTTAAGAATATTTTGATTACATTAAATAAGACTGCTGATTTTGCTACTTTTTTTAAGGGGTCTCCAAGTACGTAAAAACCATACATTGTAGGTAGAGAAAAAGTGTACCTTGATTTTGCATCTACCCTCACACCCAAGCTGTAAACAGCTGACATATTTTGTCTTCACACACTTGGTTCCATATATGCTTATTTGTTTTAAAAACTTGTATCGTCAAACTCTCTCTTTAGATTTAAAATGCTGTTGAATATGACACTTTTGAGGAGAGAGCGTGCTCAGAACATAGACAGGAGACGGTAGGCCAAGCATGCTAAGTGTACCATTAATTTTCCACCTAAAACAAGGAGATGTGGTCACTAAAAAATAAAATATGTATGTAGAACGTAATGTACTCTTGCTTTGTCAAGCTATTTGCTATAGTTTCCAAGATCATGATGTTACTCTAACTCTGAAAAGTGATGTAATCTGGTAGCAATGTATTAGTTCCAATAAAGGCATTTACATAATAAGTAGTCTCCTCGTGTTTCTACCCTTCGTGGTTTGCCAGTCGTGTTTGCCAGATTTTTCCCCCCGATGTTCTCTTTTTCTGATGTACTGTACAAAATGATGTCTGTTCAATCTAAGCTCTTGGAGCTAAATGAAGGAGAGCCCCAGTGGGGTCAGAGGGCCTTCTCCAACTTACTCTAACTTCCTTATCCGGTTCCTCCCTTTTTCTTTTTTCCCTCTCACTCCATCTTTCCAGTGTTCTGTGATATACAAAAGACCTGAACAATGGAGCCAAATAACCAGTGACGGGAGTTGGTCTCTGGCAGGTTTTCTTATCTTTCTGGTCATCAACATTTTGGGGGCTGGCTGACTCCTTGCTGGGTGGGGGACTGGCCCGTGCATGGTAGGAGTTTTCCTTGGCCTCCCTGCCTCTAACCCCGAGATGTCCTTAGCACAGCCCCAGTGCACAGAACAAATACGTCTCCAGACACGGCCAAAAGTCCCATGTGGGGCCAAATCATCCCTAGTTGACAACCAGTGGTTTATGGTACCATTTTAAGGCTTTGTGCAAATGAGTAATATGTAATCCAGTCCCTTGACGAACTGCATGGTGATGGTATAAACAACTATATTTATAGCTCGAATAAGGAAGATTTTTCTGAGTATGACATAAACCCCAAAGACCTAAAATAAAAGAATAAGAAATTTGATAATTCTGCTTTGGAAAAAAAAAAAAAAAGAAACATATAAATCAATACAATAAGCAAAGTCAAAATATAGATGACCGGGGACGGGGGTGGGGTAGAGTGGGGAGTTTAGTCCCATTGCCTTAAGTGCATTTGGGCAGCTATAACAGAATACAGACTAGGTAGCCTATAAACAATACATTTGTTTCTCACAGCTGTGCAATCTGGAAAGTCCAAGATCAAGGTGCTTGCTGCCTGGTTCATAGAAGGCCTTCTTCTATCTGTTAACTTCACATGGAGGTAGGAGCAAGACAGCTTTCTGGGGTCTCTGGTGAGGGCACAAATCCCATTCATAAGGGGCTCCACTCTCATGACCTAAACACCTCCCAAAGGCCCCACCTCCTAATACCATCACATGCGGGATTAGCTTGGTGGGGAGACACAAACATTTGGTCCATATGATAGGTTAATTTTCTTAATATAAAAGCAGCTTTAATGAGTAAGTAAAAGGCAAGTCTTCTGCAAACATATAGAGAAAATGATAAGGACAATCACATCTAACGACCTGTCTTCTGCTTAAAAAATAAAAAGTTCCATTAGAAAAATGGGCAGGGGCACCTGGCTGGCTCAGTCAGCAGAGCATGTGACTCTTGATCTCACAGTTGTGAGTTCGAACCCCACACTGGGTGTCGAGATTACTGAAAAATAAAATCTTAAATAAAAATGGGCAAAGGATTTGATTACCCAATTCAAAAAATTATAATTGGCTGATGAACGTAAAAAGGGAATGCTGATTCTCAAAAGCAAGGAGGGTTATGTCATTGAAACCGAGAACTGCTTTTTTTTAAAGTAGAATTTACTTTTAGAGCAGCTTTAGGTTCAAAGCAGAATGAAGTGAAAGGTACAGAGCTGTCAGGTACCACCCCCCAACACAAATGCATAGCTGCTTCGATTATCAACGCCTCCCCTGGAGTGGTACATTTGTTAAAATTGATGAACCTAGGGGCACCTGGGTGGCTCAGTCATTAAGCATCTGCCTTCAGGCTCAGGTCATGATGCCGGGGTCCTGGGATGGAGCCCAGCATCAGCATCAGGCTCCCTGCACAGCGGAGAGCCTGCTTCTCCCTCGCCCTCTGCCCTTCCCACACCCCCAACCCCACTCATGCGCCCACTCGCTCTCTCTAATAAATAAACAGATAAATATTTTCAAAATTGATGAACCTACGTTGACACATCATAATCACCCAAAGTTCACAGTTAGCATCAGGGTTCCCTCTTGGCACTGTACATTCTGTGGGTTTTGACAAACGTATGATGACCTGTCCACCATTACAGCGTCCTAGAGAGTAGTTTCACTGCCCTAAAACTCCTCTGTGCTCTGCCTATGCATCCGTCCCCATCCACCAACCCCTGGGATCCACTGATCTTTTTCCTGTCTCCCTAATTTTGCCTTTTGCAGATATCCTGTAGTTACAGTCATACAGTATGTAGCCTTTTCAGATTGGTTCTTTCACCTCACAATATATGTTTGAGAGAACTGCCTTTTTTATGAACTGCCTTTCATGGAGTAAAAAAAAAAAAAGTAATTGATAAATTTTCTGTTGATGATGGTCTGTGAATACGGGCATTCTCTAACACCCAGATGGAAGAATGATCCGTTTACAGTTGGTTGAGGGCAATGTGGTAATTACAGTCAAACTGGAAACTGTCCTATCCTTCCACCATCGGTTTGTTCTCTATAGTTAAGAGTCTGTTTCTTGTTGGTCACTTTTTCTTTGTTGGTTTGTTTTGTTTCTTAAATTCCACAGAGTAGTGGAATTGTATGGTATATTACATATTTATATAATGTCAGGAGAGTTAAAATTTGAAATCTATTATTACCATAATTAGGCAAATAACAGATAACACTTTCTTAACCTCCAGAGAAGTTAAGAGTACTACAGTGAACACATATATTCTTCACCTACACTCACCAATTGTTAACATTCTGACAGATTTGTTTTCCTTGTGTGTGTGTGTGTGTGTGTGTGTGTGTGTTCTTCCTTTGTGTGTTTCTTGCTGAACCATTTGAACGTAAGTTGCAGACCTCATGATGTTTTACTCCTAAACGCTTCAGCATGAATCTTCTGAGAACAAGGACACTCTCCCACAGAATTACAATAACATTGTATTTGGAGATATACTGGAGATAGAACATATCTCCAAAATGTAACATAGAGGGACACCTGGATGGTTCAATCCGGTTCAGTCAGTTAAGCATCAGGTCACGATCCCAGGGTCCTGGGATAGAGCCCCGCATCACATGGGAGCCTGCTTCTCCCTCTCCTCCTCCCACTTGTTTACTCTCTCTGTCAGACAAATAAATAAATAAAATCTTAAAAAAACAATAACAACAAAATGTAACGTAGATATACTTAATACGGTCTACATTCAAATTTTCCAAATTAGACCAAAAATATGTTTAAGGATGTTAATAAAAATGTACACTTCGTATTTGATTGTCAAGTCTCTGTTCTGTAAGATTTAAGATACTGAAACAATCTTTAGTTTCTTTTGTCTTTTGTGCCATTGATATTTGTTAACAATTCAGACCAGTTTTGTTGCAGAATGCCCCACAAACAGGGCCCCTGGGTCGCTCACTTGGTTAAGTGTCTGCTTTCGACTCAGGTCATGATCCCAGGGTCTTGGGATTGAGCCCCATGTCAGGCTCCCCGCTAAGCTGGGAGTCTGCTTCTCCCTCCTTCTCTGTCCCTTGCTTATGCTCTCTTTCTCTCTCAAATAAATACATAAAATCTTTAAAAAAAAAAAAAAAAGAATGCCCCACAATCTGGATTTGTCTGATAGTAAAAAGAGAGATTGGCAATTAATAAGGCAAAATAATATTTCCAAACTTGGTATAAATGAGCACACGGTATGAGTTTGTGGGGTTTGTTAAATGGGTACAGTTGAAAAGGTAACATGACTTTTTCCAAGGTTCAGTCGTTTTACATTTTTATTTTGAAATGATTATAGGTTAAGAGGAAGTATTAAAAAATGAACAAATGGTCCCATACACCCTTTATCATGTTTAACCCAATAATAATATATAGCTATAGTACAAATATCGGGAACAAAGTGGGCGAAATGGGTGAAGGGGATCAAGAATTACAAATTTCCAGTTAGAAAGTAAGTCATGGGATATGACCTACAGCATAGTGACAATAGTTGAAAATAGTGTATAGTGTATTTGAAAGTTGCTCAAAGAGTAAATCTTAAAAGTTCTGATCACAAGAAAAATTTTGTAATTATGTGTGGTAGTGGTGTGTTTTTTTCCCAGCCCATTTGTTTCTTTTTTTTTTTTAATTTTTTATCATTTATTTTTATTTATTTATTTGACAGAGAGAGAGAGCACAGACAGAGGGAGAAGCAGGCTCCCCTCTGAGCAGGAAGCCCAATGTGGGACTCGATCCCAGGACCCTGGAATCATGACCCAAGCCGAACGCAGATGCTTAACCAACTGAGCCACCCAGATGCCCCATGGTGATGGCTTTTAACTAGACATTGTGGTGATCATTTCACAATATAGGCAAATACTACACCATTATGCTGTGTACCTGGAAGTAATATAATGTTATTTGTCAATTATATCTCAAACAAAACAAAACAAAAAACCCCAGGAGCTAAAAAGGAGTAAACAGTGAAAACTCGAGGAAAAAAACAACAACAGGAAAACACAAAGAATTGACACTGGTGCAATCCAGAGCTTATCCATAGTTCACCAGTTTTACATGCATTCATGTGTGTGTATGTGTGTGTGTGTGTGTGTGTGTGTGCTGTGCAATTGTATCA